AATGCCTCTTGGGGGGTCTCTAGGGGCTCTAAAATCTCGGAGAATTTGGAGTCCTTCGGAAAAATTAAGAAGCTCTAAAATCTCCGAGATCTTTGATAGGGGCGATGACGCGGCCAAAAATCTCGGAGATTTTTGGTCGCACAACAATTCCCTCCGGAACGAATTTTTGCGTGATTTCTCTCTCTTTTTGGGAACGTGCATAATTATGGAATATATAGATCCGGCATAATCGCGTTTATCATACACTCCCCCGATCTGCCGTATAATAATTAGCCTAAGAGAGATAAGAGAGACGGAAATTCTGGATTATAGACTTGCAACCATAGCAAGAAAGATTCGAATCATTTCTTTTTTTTGATTATCTGCGAATCTTGCCTCCCCGGAACGAAATTCCGCGTGATTCTTATCTCTTAGGATGATATATGACTGCTCGACGAATTTATAGACCCGGGACGGAGATGCCAAATCTTTCAAAATTTATAGATTGATCGCGTCTATCCGATATTTATGCGTAAGAAAAAAATCGGGTCGGAGATCTTGGACCGCACGAAAAAAAATATTCCCGAGATTTCGATTCATTTCTTTCTCTTTGATTATCTGCGCAACGTCTCGGCGGAATATATAGATCCGAGATGGAGAAATTAAATCTTTCAAAATCTATAAGATAATTGATTTTGATCAGCGGAAAAAAGACCCGCGATTAGCAAGAATATCATTTGCTATCTTAGATTCTTTCAAAATGATCTGATGATATTCTCCCCCAAGATAAGAATTTTTTATGATGATTCATGAATTATCAAGGGAATAGAATCCCCGCCAGGGAAGCAGAGCCACGTCACGATTCGGGTTTCAAATTGAAGTTCGAATTTCATGGGTCCGTAGAGGATTATATATATGGATATGCGTAAAATAGGAGATAAAAAAAGGTCGCATCAGATTATCTGGCAACAAAAATCATCAGAATCTGATGGACATTTGCTCCTTAGAAGAATTATTTGATAGATATGGCAATGCCCCCAAATACGCAATTCTCTCAATTGCTGCTAGCCTGATAATCCTCAATTTCAAAATGCCGACGCTTACTCAGGATTCGAGATGCCAGGCCATAAGGACGTAGGATTTAGAATTCTACGCTCTATTTTCTTCGATATCGATCGATAATCGTTACGAATATATCTAATAACGACGCTCCATTGCTATAAATAACGAGATCATTCTAGACTAAAAATATCAGATCGTATTCGATAATCAAATAGATTATATTTCAATATTTTCGATATTATATATATTTTTTATCTAATTATTTATCGAATCTAAATTTATCATTCCAAAATTTATATATTATGACTCGTATATATAAATATATCGATTCAAATGAATATATATAAGATCATTCTGCTGAAATTCACTAGAATCGCAAATCTGAAGGAACTTGCCCAGCAGGAATTAGATCGTCACTAATCCTAATAGTGAGAAAATAGATATCTCGTTATTCAAGAAATCCGAAGAGCAATCGAATTAGATCTCTCCGCAGCCATTTGAAAGATCAAAAATCGTAAGAGGAATCGACGTCCGCCTTCTAGTCGTGCAACCCCGGCCCCGCCCTTCACGAATTAGATGAGAAGGAAGACGCCGAACGACGAAAAAAATAACGCAGAAGCGGACCTTCAAACGAAATGAAGAATTGGAGAGGAAAAATGAAAATCTATCCTATCTAATCATCTGCGCTCTCAAATTGACGTCTTCTCAGATCTGGATTCATCATTCCTACGCGTGGGGTCCTGATATCAGATTCCGTGATCAGGATCCATCCGAATACGTAGGAATTGAATAGAACGATCATGAGATTCCGATAGATCCGACCCGCGAGCCCAGATATTAGAAAGTCATTATAGGATTAATATTAGCTCTAATAAATCAATTTCTGGGATATTTCGATAATCTCTATCATTTTATCTAGACGAATTTATCAAGATTTAATGATATCTTTCTAGCTATTAAATCTTAGGGTAATTATGATCCTAGGAGCGCTTGGGATCGTAATCTATTTGATAAGGAACTAATTATAAATCTGAATATTCATGATATAGCGACAAATCATTTGCATCAGAGGAAGATTTGCCATTAGAGGAGATTTATAAATAGCTTGGGAGGAAATCTATTGCCGATACGCCTGGATATTAAGAGCTTTATTCGCCAATCCTAATATTTGATATGAAAGAAAGGAGTGAGCTCTCTTCCTTGCGATCATTCCTTCTAGCTCTAATTATAAGAAGAATTAATATAGACTTGAGCTCCATATTATTCTAGTACGATAGATTTATGACTAATCCCAGGATTATTCAACTCCTAATAGAATTATATAGATGCAAAGCCAGGATCATAAAGAATTAGATCTAATTCTAAATCATTTGCATTATCAATCATCAATCATGGACTCTCTATTTATAGGATATTGGCTAGAGACCTGAATCATAAGCTATAAGAAATTGATAATTATAAAAATATCAGAAAAAAATATTTCTATAATTCTGCTAATGGGATTGGAGGCCAGGCTGATTTAAATCTTAAACTTATAGATCTCCTATGATCAAGATCTAGATCGACCATTCCTCTCATTCGTTTAATCTTATATATTGATTATTCATCGGATTTCATATCTTGTCATATATTGATTATTCTATAGAATTTCTCAAGTAAATATTTGCCGCTGCCGAAGGCAGCGGATCAATTCTAATATTTATATTTTTTTTTAAATATTTTCTATATTTTGATCATTCTCAAATATTTCAATAATACGGCGCGGCGATTTGAGGTCATTGGAGATCATTTCATTCAGAAACGACCTAGTTTTTTCCGGACCCCTATTAAAATGTCTCCTACGATCTTTCTAGGATCCCTAAAATCTCGGAGATTCTAATAGAATCTTTCGGAAATGCTGAGATTCTGAAAATTTCCGAGATTTTTGATCGTGTGGCCCCCGCCTTCGGAGCGGTCTTCCGCGTGATTTATCTCTCTTTAGTTTTCCGGGTTGATCGGTAGAAGCGTGAAATCCCGGGGGGGAGATCCAAAATCTTTCAGAATCTATAGGATGATTATTTCTATCATATGCGACCTATTATTTTTATTATCAAAAAATATCGTCTGCGATCGAATATATAGATTATTTTTCAGATTTCTCATTATAAATATTCTCAAATAGATATTTTCTGCGATTCTTATTTCCGGAGCGGTCTTGCGCATGATTTATCCCTCTTTAATTGATTATGTGGCGATTAAAGACATATATAGATCTAAGATAAAGAAATATTATCTTTATCAATTTATATATAGATTGGTCGTATTTATATCTACGGGCATTTATACGATCTTTCGAGTCGCCGCGCAGATAATCCAAGAGAGATAAATGAGGCGGAAAGATCGGATAAGATATGGATATTATGCGACCAAAAATCTCCCGATAATTTGATTCCTTTCAATATCTTTTGTTATATCCGATCCTAGAATATCGTCCTAAAATTCAAGGATTATCTCTCAAAATATCCAGGTGACGAGAAAGAAATCTCATTATTCAAGAGATCTGAAGAATAATTTAATTAGATATCTCTATAATCAATTGAAGGAAAAAAATCATAAGAAGGATTAATATGCATCTTCCAATCGTGAATTTCCTCGCCGCCTTCATGAATTAAATGAGAAAGAAGATATCGATCGAAATATATTAAGATAGAAATAGATGCTCATATGAAATAGAGAATTAACGATAATTCGAGAAAATATATAGATCCGAGATAGAGATCCAAGATATTTCAGAATCTATAGATTAATCATTTTTGATCACATATGATTTTATATCTTGATTATTCATATAATATCTTATATATTAATTATTCATCGGATCAAGTTTACTACTATGATTATTCTCAAATAAATAGTATAAATAATAGATCAATCGAATTATCTATATAAGCTAAATATTGAAAATCTAAATATATATTTGAATATATTATAGAAATCCAAATCTATTTCTTACCAAATCTAAGAATTTTCTTTAAAAAAATATTCATAATAATCAGAGATTTTTTCGATAATATTAAAATTATAATATATCTCGCAAAAGAAGCTTATCGTATTCCATAACGTAATTCTTCTATTATATTTCCTTAAAATATCAATTTATTTCATATCTCTTAACGTATAATCTTCATATCTCCCGCAAATTAAAAATCTATCTCCCTTTCTATTATATATTTTATATAAGATATATAGCAAATCCAAATCAAAGATCCTATTACGTATCTAGAATCTATTAGATAAATCAAATTCAAAATAATTCTTTTCTAATTTATCTCTTATCGAACGAAAATCTAAGAACGATATATATACGACCATCATAATTTTCTCGTCAAAGAAGAAAATCTAGATATATCGAAATGAAATATAATTAGAAATTCCTAAATCTTGTTATATAATCTCCATTATTTTTTTTCATCATTATATATCTCAATATTCCTTTTCAAGAAAATTGTCATTTTTATAGCTTGAGAAATTAAATTGACAATCCAATATTCCGCAGATTTAAGTTAATTAATCCCAATAGGTTATCTATGAGATTTATAATGATTATAAATGATTTCTAAGCATTTGGTAAATATTTCTAGCCTCATATTCATACGTCCACTAGCCAATACCCCATCACAATAATAAATATCATTAATTCCGAAGGATCTTATCATTACGACTTCTCGTTACTTATTTTTTTAGGAGACGCCGGAATCGATAGACGAACTCGGGAATCATCTTCATCTCTGAATACGATCCATTTTTGCAGATTCTGCATATTCTTCATATGTTATTTCCTTGTATCTCGTCTGAAATCTCTGAATATTTTCCTTGTCTTATATATCGGTGATTCCTGCAATTTCTTTGGATCTTGAGCCGAGTTTCTAGTTCGGGACCCCTTTGCAAAATCAATGGGCCCAGCTTGCTTTGCATGGGGCCGGCATCCCCACCGCCGGTCGGATGGCCCCAAACCACCACCGAGCCGTCTGCTCGGAGAGCGGCGAAGGCTGACGCGGTGGCCTGGAGATGAATTGGGAGAGGGTTTAGGGTTTAGGGGAGACCCCTCCACAGGCTTGCGTTTCAGAGTTTAGTAGAGCTTTTTTCCCTAAACCCTACCTTTAATCAAGAGTCGCACAGGATCTTTACGATCAACTCTGGGGACCTGGATGGACTGAACATCTCGAAGCTGCTCACGGACGCCACTGCAGTCACCTCCACACATGGGATCACCCCAAGCCACCTGAGTAGTTTGGGGCTTTAAGGCTTCTGGTGTTTAGCATCCAGAAGGCTTGCAGGAGTGGAGAAGGTGTAGAGTAAAATGGTTTAGGGTTTAGGGTTTAGAGTAAATTTCTTTATAACGACAAGGGGGGTTCCTGAATTGCTTTGCGAGGTTCAGTGTTTAAGGCTTAGCCCAGCCCGCTAGCCTGTTGAGCTTTGGGGTACATATCATCTTGAATGAGCCTTCTTGCGGGGGACTCCCTGATAAAGGAATTAATAAGCCTAAATAACATCAGCGAATGACTTCTGAGAAAGAGGTTTAAACGAGATGCACAGAAGACCCTATCTTAAGATCCGTTCTTCACAACATAAACCTTAAATAGGCAACAGCTGAATCCCGCTCATCAAGTGGAAGCAGTAGTATTCTCAAGTCTCAGCAACAGGCACAATCCAGCTCTTGGGCCTACCACCCGTTGTTGGATCTGCGATGTGTGTCTCCAGCCCCAATACAGGCTTCTAATAGGGTTGAGGATTCAGGGAATTGGGCTTAGGATTTAGGGTACAAGGGGCCCACATAAGCACCAGCGTTATGGTCCTAGATTCTCGTGTACTTAAAAGTATATAGTAGCTCAAACGGACCACGCCACAAATCCTGGAGGGATAGTTGAGAACCGGAACAATGCAAGTTGACAGGTTGATTTCAAATGGTCAAGCATTTGGCGTGATCATCTTAGCGCAGTCTGGATCCACCAATCTTTGTGGAATCAGCAGACGGGATGTGCAGCAGGCCGTAAGTTCAAGAACTGCCTGCCATGGTTTCCAACAACCCAAATTCATCATGAAACCTGTGGACATTGACCATTGCAGAAATCTTAAGATGGTTTCTGCCGCCACCCAACTTTGACATGCTTCGAATGACACATCACACGTTTCTCGCCTTCAAACTTTGATGTCCAAAGCCATGCTTCTCGAGTACAGGCTCAAAACTGGGAATGACTGGTGAACTGCTGGGAACTCAGTTGAAAACATTCAGATCCAGACCCTAGACCCTAAACCCTAAACCCACCAGGTATCTGCGTTCAACCAGGTTCAACCTGAGCAACCTGGGCCTAAACCTGGGATGAAACCTGAGTGCAACTTGGAACCCGGTTCAGCTTTCAATACGACTCAACGAGAAACCCTAAACTCTAAACCCTAAAGCCCTTAACCCTAAGAACCTGGGTTAAACCTAGGTTGGCAATTTAGCAGTTATAGCCTTGGCTGAAGAAACCAAATGATTCCCGGAGTTCAAACTTACTTACCGTGGATGAGAGGAAATCTCGACACGCTGCATATACCCTGTCCCCTAGGAACTAAACCCCCCAAAATCCTAAACCCCATCTGAAGCCTAAGTGGTGAAGTTTTGCCCTTTATCCAACCTAGGTTAAACCCAGTTTCGAACTCAAAAGTGATAAGGGTTCAGGGTTTACGTTCTGAGGGAGAAGAGTTGCAATCTGGCTTGAAGCTAGGTTCCAAGCCTTTTCTGGGCCTTCCTGGAAGGTACCGGGGCTTTGGGTTTTTCAGGTTTCTAGACTTCAGGGCTTGCCATAAGGTCCCTCATGGGCAAGATCCAGGGTCCTTTCTAGATAGATATAGAACCCCCAGCGCTGAGTAGGATGCTATGAACGCAATCTCAACAATCAGCAGCAATCACGATCATCTATTATCCATAAAGACATTGCCGCTTCTTCCCCCGCAGTGCTCTTTGTTCCATTAATGCTGACAGTCGTTATCTCTAAGTCTCTGAGTCACTGTCGTGCCATCCTCCCAAACCCGAGACCCTACTCAGACCTCAATTTGCTAAAGACTACTGTCCTACAGCGGAGCCCCCAACCCCGCGCGGACTTTGTATACTGTCGTACCACAATTCCCAAGATTTGGGGTTAAAGGTTTAGTTAGGGCCAGGCAGGAATTTTTGTATCCACTGTAGCACATTGAAATCCTCTGAATGAAGAGGAGGCGTCGTTCTACTTTCTCCTAGGCGCGACCGTCCCATCCTCCCGCAGACCTGCAAAGGCCCCTTCAGAGCTTTTCACAGCCTTCACCGACTCCTGGAATTTGGAAGGTCTGGATAAAGGGCACAAGGTTTCTCAGAGGAGATATATGCATATATGTACATACATGTATGGGCTCCCAAATATGACAAGGCGTTCTAAGAAGTCTTAGAAGGCTTTCCCAAGTCTTTCTGGGACATGCGACAGCTTGTGGAGATGTCTCAGTGTTCGATGTGCTTTGCGGCACCCTCATGCTACGGGTCGTGCCATTCAGAGATATTACAAAGGTGCTCCATGTTGATAAGAGCTAAAGTCTAAATTCCTTAAAGGGGGTTACATAGGGGGTTACATGGCAGAGCATTATAGGGGTCATTAAGGGTGATACTATGGGTTTAGACTATAGCTCCTATGCACAGGAAAGCAGAACCACACTGCTGAAGAAGCGCACTTCACGTGTTCCTAGCAGTCCTCGACCCAGACCAAATGGGTGCTTCTGAAAAGTACGGCTACTTTTTTTGACAGTCCCTATAATGAGACAGTAGCATTTTGGGGTCTATTTTAAGGCCCCTGTGTATTGAGAAAATACCACATGTGTGCATGCACATGCTTGGGCAGATGACTTGATCTTGGCCACAACTTGTTCAACCAAGAACCTGTGACTGGCAACCCTTACAAAACCTTAAACCGAGCGGTAAGAAGTTTGAGGATTGGGGTTGTCGAGGACCTTACACTCAGACCTTCAAAGCCTAAAAACTTTAAAGCCTAAATCCGAAACGCAAGTCCCTAAAACCCCAACATGTTCAGGGCAGCTTATCTCCAGGTTGGATGCAGACGTCAGGCGCCCCATGCTCTCATGCACACTGGCTTTAGGGTATAGGGCTTTTAGGGTCAAGGATTTGTAGGGATTGGGATTTGTAGGGTTTAGGGCTGACGTATAGGGCTCAGAGTTTATAGAGTTTAGGGCAGCAACTTTACCATTTGTAATACATTATGATCTTTTGGACTGCTTCTACTTAGGAGGTCGGCGTCTCAGTACTACGGGCGGGGGCATTAAGATGAAGAAGCAACATGACGGCAGCAACAGATATTGTGAAAACTGTGAGGCACTAACAAATCATTTGCCGATCTACCTACCTTGTATGGAGCAGCATGCTTGTGCCCAAAATCTCGCTCTTGCCGTCAATGTCTATACTTAAAATGCTAAGCGAAGAACCCCGTACGGTATATCCTGACAATCCCCAAGCCCGGAACAATGAATAAGCCAATATGGAAGTTTCCAAGAAAGGGAAAATCCAAATTACCCCTACGCAATTGTCGGCAAGCCCCATGTGCAACAATCCGTTCACTGAACAGCTGCCTAGATTCTTGGAGAATCCAGGCGCTGCCAACTACTTCCACGTCGCCCCAAGTGACCTGCCAAAAAATTTCATCTTCCATTGTTTTTTCCATTTGATTCTTCATTATTGCTGTAAAAAACCCTAAACCACAAACCACCCTTAACCCCTACCCCCCTAAAACCCTGAGCCTAAACCCTAAATCCGAGTGACTATTGAGTCAGAAAGTACAGCAGCAAAGGCTCGCGGTCCAGCTGCCACAAACCTGGGTGGCCAATCAGGATTTAAGGCTTAAGGTGTTAAGGTTTAGTTTAGGGTTTCTATGGCAAAGGCTTAAGAATTCGGCTTCCCTTTCAAGAGGTTATAGGGTTATATAGGCTTATAAAGGGTTATATTGGGGTATATAGACGAGGGTCTAGGAGTTAAGGTTTGCCGTCAAGGGGTTATAGGGGTTATATACGGTTTGTGCTGGGGCAGCCGGGGGGTATATAGAATAGGGTTTAGGGTTTGGGGGTATATAGAGTAAGGTTTAGGGTTTTAGAGTTTATGGCGTAGGGTCACCACCTTACCCTTGCAGTTCGGTATAGGGTGTAGTGTAACGTATTCTACACCCCAACAACCTAACCGTCATTTGGAGGCCGAGGTTGCAGTCCTAAAGGAAGTGATTAACTTTGGAAATCAGGGCCCTGCTAAACCCGTTTCAACCCTCCTTTCCATTTTTTCAGTTTCTTTTCCATTCAGCCCGCCTCATCCGGGTAGCACCCCTAAACCCTACTTCCTAAATCGTACTTTCTATTTTCTTTTCCATTCCTCCTTATGATAAGGTGTCGGTCCTGCATGGGGAACCCATCATGATTTCCCGCTTACAGCAACTGTCCTTGAAGGGGCCATGTTCAGGGGTGATTGCATCTCCCATTGCTTATTGTAGCATTTGTTACTGTGAGGGGGAAGAACGAAAACCTAAACCCTCTTCCTCCAGACTCTAAACCCAATGTCTCCTCAAACAGGACCTAGAAGCAACACCCCACGCAAATCGCGCGGAGGAAGCGAGTAGCGATTCGGATCTCTAGCGTAGTCGGTATACCCCCACATCAACAGGGACCCGTCTGTCTTGAGGCCGACGAAGTTTAGCTCATTGGCCTGGATTTCCTGACTTTGTGCTTTAGGGTTTAGGGTTCAGCGTTTGGGGCTAATGTAGGAGGACGCTCTACCTGCTCTGGAACCCCGAGTTTAGCTTGTACTCCTTGCTGTTTACGGAGCTTCACTGAGCATAGGCTGCTTAGATTTCAGGATGCCAAGGGCTTTCGGAAAGAATGCGGGTTAGGGTTTGGTTTTTAAGGCCGACAGCTTCATTCTCCGACAGTTCTTCAACTTCATACTTTATGCGAGGGTTTTCCAACATTAGCGGTACCTTTTTGGGGAAGTACGTCTGCCAAACACGTCACAATTGATTGAAAACCGGTACAGGGATGACGTGAGCAGGTACCACCCGCAGGGCAGCTTTCAGGGTTTTGAGGCAGCTGAACAGGATGTGACAAACTGGGTGCTGCAGGTATGTGTGTGCTTGAGAAAGTTGGGATAGGGAACTGGAAAAGTTAGGCAACGATTTGGGCATATCTGGGATAATAAAGGACTCCCGAAGATTTGGGTCGGCG